TTTTATCAAAATTCTCAAAAACTTTGAAATACATTAAAAGACTCATCCTCTCTCCATCACTATCACTAAGAAACATTGCAGCAGGATTAAATGGATAAGTGAGATTTATAATTGAGATAAGCCGGATTTCAGGGCATTGTCTTGAATTTTTTCATTAGAATCACGTCCATCCTCTGTAAGTCCTTTAAAGCTTCCATAAGAGTGATCTACTATATTCTTCCTCTTACTGCAAACTTCATCAGCCTTCCCTAAGTGAGAAAGCTCATAGTGCTGGGTATTAATAAGCGAAAACCGATTTGATTCCCTGCGCTCATCTTTGCCTGTGATTTTATCTGATTTACCTCCATATTCTTCATACTTACCTCATTATCAACAAAGCGAGCAGATCTTTCATGCTGAAGTACTTTGCCACTTGAGATATTCCCAACTGGATTGCTTGCTAATGGAAAACCATCTGTAGAATAAGTGAAGAAAATTAAGAAAACAAAACAAAATCCTTTTTCCAATAAGTAGCTCAAGAAAAACTACTTCAGTAATAATGACGTTTTGCAATCAAACAAGACCACAAGGCTTTCATTCTGTAATATGTAGTTACAGGCTGGTGGCCAATACCTCCATGTATACTGATAAAGTCATCATCCGAGTCAGACTCTAGAATACTCACCGAGTCAAACCAAGCTTCCTCTTGGAAAATTACTGCAAATGAATAACTTTCAAAATATGAGATTCAAGAGCTATGAATTTTCTTGTCAGCACTATTGGTTGAAATTGAAAGACAGTTGAAATCTGATGAAAGAAAGCACACACCATTCGAATCATATTGACTATGGTGCCATTGCAGCTGGGTGAAATGGAATGTTGAATTAGAAACCTTAGATCTTCTGTGAGTAGTTGTTGCACCATTCTTAAAGTCCACGTGAACAAACTCATTGACAGCTCAAGCGAGTTCCTGCATCACTATTTATTTTCTTGAAACTTGTATTTCTTTTCTTGGTACCATCTGAAGCGGAGCAGGTTGCCTATCTATGACGTTTGATGACCCGCTGACAGTGTTCTTTCCATGGTTTAATTGTTTTGGATGGGGTTGACATGCAACCAGCCATTGTGGCTTTTAAATCATGCAAGTCCCAACTACAACGATGCCTTCATCAAGTCCTCTCCAACCAGTGTGCCTACAAATGAAACAAAATACATCAGAGAAGATTAAAGGATTTCTAGAAAACAGTTTCTACGATCACAAATAATCATGAGAGCGCAATCAATTCTTTCATCATGAGACTGTTTCAGTAATTTATGGCTCAAACGCTAGAGCAGTTAACCAACTTAACACTCGGAAATTATTAGAATCAAACAGATGACACACAGAGGTCTCTATGTTTAACGAGTATGGTGGCACTATCAGAAAGCATACCTTGGTTAGAAGCGACTGGTAACTTGTAGCACTACACTAGTTATTCAATCAATTTGTAGATGAAAATTTGTGCAATCATCATAAAAATTAAATGTCTGATTCAAACCTTCTCAAACAAAGTGGGATGTCTCTTTCCCAGTCCCATAGATAAGCCACTTATCAATCTTAAGCCCCAAATCTTTAGTTCTGGCTCACTAGAACACAAAAATGATCAGAAAACAAAACGATAGTACAACCACCTCAAGAACAACTCAAAAAACCTTAGTCCCTGTACTTGCTATTATCTTTCTTAAGCCCCAAATCTTTTCTCTTAAGTAGTTGGTATTTGCAAAGTAAATGGGAGCATCAATCTCAAGTATGAGAATTTCAGAATTCCAGGAACATTGCTTTGCATTGGGATACTGCTCAGCATTTCTGTAAACCATGGAATTCGGAAGGTTTCCTTGAACAAAAGTCCTTGGCCTTGCCACAAACAAAAGTACCCTGATCACAAAATTGCAACCTACACAGAAGTAAAACGAAATATTAGTTCTAATGCGTAGTTTTAAGTTGTTAGATATAGTGTTACTGTCACACACAATAATTATACGTACCGCTAAGGCTAGTCCAATTTCAACGCTTCAAAAACGACGTCGATATAGGCACTCATGCAGACAACAAAGTCAAACTTGTCAACCTTCCAGAGGTGAATTGCGGCTTCATAG